TGTGGGCAATGTCCGTGTGACACAGCCATATTTTGAGCGAGAAGGCCCAGTGATTCTCGGTAATCAGGCTCAAACGCAGTGGCAAAGGTTAGGACTGACGCGTTGGACATGGTGGTATTGATACTGATTCTCGATAGTGTCCGGCGGAGGGTTGAGAGCGGAGCACGGTAATGCGATCTCCTATCATCGGATATTCCCTCCCCCACTTCCTGTGCAGAGTGGAAGCTGATGACCGATGATTGCCTGGATTGCATGGGGCGGAGAGTGTCCATCGAGTCCCGACTGGGCTCGGGCGGAAAGACATGACGATGGTGCTGCAGGATACGGGCCGTCACAAAACTTTCCAGTGATACCCGACTCCTGATGGAAGGTAGAAAGCCGACCGCGCTGGAGTGCCTTGAGTCGGCTCGTTGACGGAGCTGATCTGCAAGGTTTTGGATCTCTCCTGCTTGATGAGCTTGAGATGCCAGCAGGTCATTTCTTTCTGGTTGTCAGCAGTTGGAAATAATGAGACCAGGTCCTCTTACAGCTTACATCTGCAGTTGTAGTTCTGCTACCAGCGCAGTGTTGTGTGATTGACCATCGGAGTTGCTGCCGTGACTGCTGTCGATACTTGTTCTGCTGTTCCCGTTCCTGACGTTGTTGTTTTCGATCCGGTTCTCCTCGGCAATAGTGGCATTCTTGTTCAAGTCCCAACACAGCCTCGACCAGCGCCATATTCGTCTTCAACTGGGAAATTCGAGTCGCAAGTGCTGTGTTCTGCTGCCTAGAGCTAAACGCGGCTCGAAGGAGACTGCGGTGGAAAAATGATTCCGCTTCTCTGAGGACGCCTTCTGATTCTATTTTCAGGCCTTCAAGGATGCCATGATTTATCAGAGAGCATAAAATCATGGAGTCATGATTCGTTGCAGCCCGCCGCTCAAGCCATTCAACCGAGTCTATAACCAGCCCCCTGAAGTCCTTGAATCTCTGATAATTCAAAACATGGGCATCTTTGGCGGTCGCAAGTGTATACCTAGAGGTGGATTCGAACAGCAATTCTTGGAGTATCATTATCAGGTTAAGAATTTGAACTTCAAATCCAAACATGAAGACTTTGGGAGCCGCCTCAAATATCTCCGCCATTGAGGAGGACTGGATCGCGCACGATCTTTATGACATAAAATGAACAGCGGCCGAAATGCATAAGAATAAATAAATAGAGGTAGGAATCAACAAAGGATCAGTCTTTGGGCCCTAGTTTGTGAAAAAGGTCAGGAACCCGTTTTACTGCGCTGTTGCTTTGGGCAGCAAAGGCAAAAAGCGTTTAGGTGATGTGGCAGCACCACCTCGTCCCTCATTCGTCACTTCTTCAGCTGAATAAACGCACCACACACAACTCACCATGGCATCAGGCTTGATACCGTGGTCAGTCGTGAGAACCAATGCACCGAACACATTATGGTACAGTTTGCCACACGCCTTCGCAATATTTGCACATGCATCAATATGTCTTCATCACACCTCCAAATTCAACCTCTAGGCATTTTTTACATGGAGTAATTCCGAACAAGCCCTGGCGGATCTGTTTTCGAATGATCGTCAACCCTATCACAGCTTGGAAAGATGGGAACCATTTAGCTAACGAAGCGGTCATGTAAATAAACCGAACCTGAACGGTCTGACACTCATTGCTTTAGATGGGAAAGGCCGTCGCAACAATATTATCAGGACCATAAGAAGATGGAAACACATTTGGGAGCATCCATCAAGGAGAATTCCATATCAAAATGCCTAAAGACTGAATTGAAAAGATATCGTGAAGACGCTCAGATGTATAAGGTACTGACCGTAACAGATTCGGCTTATTCTTACCACCCATTCGGCAAGCAATATTTCAAGAAGAAGCATGAGAAGGAGTTCAGCTAAGCAATACACCAGCATTGTGCGACAGCACGTCTGTCAACCTGAAAGATCCTATATTTCCTACCGGCCAGTCCTATCGCCCATCATAGCCCTCGCTGACCCTTTGTCAGAGCAAACCAATGTCTGGCCTTTTTTTCCTTTTTTCCTTTTTCAACGCGTGTATCGGGGGTGCGCCTGCTCCGCTCCTTGCCGTGACGGACCTTTGCTACGAAGTACTTTCGTTGGAGCAGACCGCCAATCTTGTCGTCACGGGCGGCAGCAAGGGCGAGGAGCTCGTCTCGATCGCTTATGGAAATCAAGGGGCGATCGGTTCGATCGTGACGCTCGGACAGGAGGGACAGGTAGTAATCTCTGGCGTCTGAAGGTGATTCGTCATCGTTGGATGGAGAAAGAGAAGGTGAAGAGTCTTCTTCGTCCTCGCTATCATCCGAACCCGACTCTTTGTCTTCCGCTTCGACGTCGCCTGATCCTTCTTCGTGTTTCGATCTCTCCTTCATCTGTTCGGCGATTTCGACAAGGAGTCCTAAGGTCTCAGGAGACTTGGCGGTTGAGCTGACGATTGCCTCTAAAGCCTCGAGTTGTCCAGTGCTATGCTCGTTCTCCTCGGCGATCTCGGCGTTTGGGCTATTGTGGGGGAGGGTAATAAACAACGGTTGGCCCGCAGAAAATGGGCCAGAGGCGGCGGTATGGGGCAGTTGGGCGTTGCCTCTCTTGTTGGTTCTTTTGTGCCATCTAATCTCCCTAATGATGTTTTGAAGTCCATCCACGAGCTCCTTGGGACGGCTATCGTTCTCGTTCCTTGTACGGTTTTTGTCCCACTAGGTCATAAGCTCAGACTGAATATGCTCAGGGACCTATACGAGTTAAGAAAGAAGAATCGACAGCTGCGGTCGAAGTTGTTTAACTTACAGGAACGCACATCTGATGATGACCATTCTTCGCGCATTGCCAACACGCAACGCCAAGTCTACTTGGTTGTAGCATTTCTGGCCGGGAGTTTTGAAAGCCCTGGAGATGCATGGGCCGCAGGGCATGTGCCTCTCGGTGTCTTGCTCGGAGCCATTCTTCTTGGCTGTGGTAACCTCCGGGACTCCTTCGGCGGTCTCGGTCGAATCTTCTTCTGAGGATGACACCTCAAAGTAGCTGTCGATGCGTGGCCGTTTCCTTGGGGCGTGATCGCGGCGTGAGCTCGAGAAGTTGATATCGGCCATTGTTGCCTATTCTGGCACGAGACGATTGACGGCTTTGTCTAACAGAATGGGTGAAGTCGATCAATGGAAGCGGCCGTAGGTGTTGAAGGTAGAAGATCAAGAAGGATGGGACGTGGAAGCTCACACTCAGCACTTTTCCCGGAACGCACTTTATATGGGAAAGAATAGTCCAGTTTGTTGAGTTTGTCATAATTCAATCACGGTAACGGCGTCATTGGGCACGCATGAAGCAAGTGTTCGGCTCCTGAAAACAGCAAGAATCATATGAGGACTCGGAGCGCACAATCAGAAACTCTTTGGCTGGAGCAAGCCATCCATATCATCACCATCATCAACAACAACGTCGTCGACTCCATACATCACATTCTGTCCAATGGGCATGGTCTCACGGTGCTCACCACTTCAAGTACCGACCCATATCCATACCATCCCGCCAATCCGACACCTATGTTCCTCTACGTATCTGAAACCCGAAGAACGGATATTCATAAGTACCCGCTTTGAAAAGAACAATCACATACGACCACACCCACTGGAAAGCTCGGGATCCCGTCCGCTCTCCCATAGATAAGTCAGTGAGGGCCAGACTAGTAGTTGGGTCGGTGACGACCAGCGAATCCCTGGTGTTGTATGTATTTTTGTGTTCTCGCGTGGTTTTCCTTGCTATTAATCCTTTTTTTGCCAATTACCTGTGTATGTACCCTTGTTGTTGGTGTTCCAACATGTCTTTTTGTTTTGTTTGCAACGGGTTGAGGTAACATCATATAACTGCATTCCATATACGTTGCTTATCATCTACAGTTGACCGCCCCAGACATATTTATACGTTCGTACATCCGTTGCTTTTCGTCTTCTGTTGTTCAGGAAAGCACAAAAACTTCCCCTCCCAATTAAACTAAACCTCCGTACTCATCTCATCCCTCCCTGTAAAGATCTTCCACAGCCTCTTACTAACCGCCGGACCCACCCTCTTCTCGCCCACTTCCCCTTCCTTATTAATCACCCTTCTCACATCCTCCAGCGTCAGCGGCCCGCCCCTTTCCAGGGCGTTCACCAGCCTTCCGACACTAGGATACTCATTCGCAATACCCATAGCGATGGGCGTCGTGACCCTCGCCACCTCCTGCAGCGTGCGCACGTATATGTCTTTCCGCTCGATGCCCGTGCGGACCTGTCCGCTGTCCATACAAAACCCGGCCGCTTTCATCAAGTGGTCTTCGTGGCGTGTTTTGTAGGGCGCGATGGCGAGCTGTTGCGTGAAGAGCTGGAGCTGCGTGGCGGTGTCTTGGGCGCAGGTGGTGTGGAGGATTTGCAGGGAGTGAAGCAGTTGGAGCTGGAGGAGGGCGGTGTCGATTTGCATTTCGTTGATCTGAAGAGGGGGGTCGTTTTTCTTGGTCGTCCGACGGGCAGGGGCTGCTGAGGCAGAAGCGGATTGTTGTTCGTCCTCCGCTAGACGGGAGCGAACCGCCGAGGCAAACTCATTGTTGCGCTTGTTGCGGCTTTTGGAGAGTAGCTGTTTCAGGCCTTCGATTAGGTAGATCGTTTGATGGCCCGGGAAATGGCGTTGCATCTTGAGGACGTGCGCTTCGAGATTGTGGCCCTCGGCGCCCATTGCGAGCTTGGCGAATTCAGCGGCGGGGAGGATGACGAGGCTGAACTTCTCGGTCTCGATGGTCTCGGGGATGGGGTCGTAGTGATGGCGTTCTTCGTCGTAGCAGGATTTGACGACGCGGCGCCAGCGCACAACATTGTCTACTGGAGAGGCCCAGGTGTTGACCTCCTTGACGTAGACCTTCTTGAGAAACTCTTCGGTCTTGATCCTGGCGGCCTGGCCGAGGCTAGACGGGAGATCCACGATCATCTCAGGCGTGGCGGTTCCCTTTTGGATCTTCAGCCTGTTGGCTTCGGCGCGGGCGGCGGCACGCTGCTTCTCTTCGGCCTTTTGTTGCCTCTCGCGCTCTCTTTCTTGCCTTTTCCTTTCCGCTGCGGCTTTCTTTTCGAGAGCCTTATCCTCTCTTTCTCTCGCTCGTTCCTCGGCCGTTTTCTTTGCGCCTCCTGCTGCAGGCTTCGGTCTTGTGGACCCTGTTGTTGTGGACGCAGACTTGGTGAATGGTCGTTTCGTAGGTCCCGACGGTTCAGTTCGATTAACTGGGAAGCGGAGATCGGATATGTCTGGGAAGTCATCATCGTCTTCGTCGGACAAAGGGGTAGCGACTCTGTCTTCGTCCGAGTCATCGAGGCTAATAACGTTCGATTGACTTCTCCCTAGTGGGCGGCGAGGACTAGGTTTCGCTGGAAAGGGGGCCGAGCTCGATATGGGATCCCATGCTGCAGGCGTGGTCGTCACCTTTGACGGTTCCCGTGGTTGCGGATTCATCTTCGGTAACGGAGTGTCTGCAAATGGATCATCATCGGAATCGTCGTTTGGTGGTGGTGGTATCCTGTTCGCTCTTAAAGGAGTGGTTGCAAACGGATCATCATCGACGGAATCGTCTATGACGGTGACTTCTGGTGTGACTTTCGCAGATGCAGATGCAGACGCAGGTCCTTTTCCTTTTCCTTCTCGGGTGGGCCTGGGTCTTAGGGGCGGGCTCGCAAAAGGATCAGAGTCGTCGTCATCATCACGGAATGTTGGTTTTGGCGCTGGGGCTGGCGCTGGGGCTGGCGCTGAAGCTTTGGATATCCTTGGGCTCGAAATATGAGGAGAGCTAGAAAACTCGAGATCTTCTATCACCCTACTGCTACCACTCCTCAACGGCCCTGCCCAAGCGGGGCTCTTGGTTATCGCTGGGACATGTGTCTGAGCCAACCGAGACCTCGGGCTGTTGGACCTTTGGACTGGAGGGGATAAGCGCTGTCGCTTCCTAGCTGGCTCGCTTATTCGGTCACCTCCAGTTGTCGGTCTGGCAATATTTTCGATATCGAGAAAGCCGTCGGAAGAAAGCCATGACGTGTCAATGTCGTGTATCGAAGTTTCCTTCTGCGTTATACTCCGAGCAGAGCCATTGATGGACTTTAGTTCTTGGCCGTCTCCCGTGCGATCAGAGGTGCCGTGCCCTGGTTCTTTCCTGGTGGGAATCTTAGGCGCAGGTATTGGCAGTTCATCATCGGCTGTGAGGTTAAAATGGTCGTAGTCTAGATCATCATAGAGAATGTTTTTCTGTGCGCTAGGCGGGACACGCGACGAAGAGGACTTATTGTTGACGGCTGATGTTGGTTGAGGTTCTACCTCTGGGCTGGAGATAAGGTCGATAACGTCTGGGGGCATGACTCAAGGCTTCAATGGTTCGCAGAAACTCGATGAATTCTGTGAGTTCCTCTCCATAGCCCAAGTCGCCAATGGTGACAATGACGCGAGGTCTCGAGTTCAAAATGCGCGTCGGACGTTTGTGGTAGGGAAGTTCTCGGCGAATTCTCCGTTTGCAATATCGCGGAGTGTCGTTTCAGCCTCTGCTTTTTTTTTCTTGCTTTTTTTCTGGTTTTCGCGACTATTCGTCCGGTATTACAACGCGACAGGAGACGGCGTTGCGACAGCGTTGACGGGATGCGGTGCGGTACGGAGCGGTGCGGTGACATGGTGTGACGACATGACGCGACGGGAAGACGCTTTGGAGCACGAACTTGACGCGGGCTTCATGTGACCTGAGCTTAATTAGACCCCGCTCCCCACTTGCCGTCCCCGTCACTTCCCATCTCCACTCTCCAAACGCTGCTCCTCGGTTTCTCCACTCTTTTGTGTTTTGCTGCTGTTGTTGGTTCAGTTTGTTTGCCGACCCGACCAGGCCGTCCCCGTTCGCACTATCAAAATCGCAATGACCGACGACCGACTGATCGACGACCTCTTGCCCCGGGCCCCGGATTCAAATGTCAATGGTTCCGTTGATGAAACGTTGCCATAGCCGGCTATAGTGGGCCACACAAAGACGAAGCGAAGAACAGGATCAACAGAATGGAAAGAAGCTGAGGAAGCTCATCTCTCTCCTTCTCTGTCTAAGACTCCATGTGCTTTTCGTTCGTTTGCCTCAAAGACAGACCATTAACCATTCCGACACACCGTACCGGAATGGGTCGGCATCACAGTGCTGCTGGCAGCCTCCAACACATCGCCCGTTTTATGAAGGATAAATCTCTGCTCCCATCACTGTTCCTTCGCGCATACAACAACGAGATTAGATGAGATTGATTCTTCGAATCCCTGCATTTCCAAATTCGAAAATAATGTCTCGGCATTGGGAGGGAGTCCGCTTGCACGTGGATATCGTTCGTTCGGTCGTCCAACTGCAGTCCGTCTGTCTGTCCATCTTCTCTTTATCGAGAACCCTGGCAACATGCCAAAGATGGGGCTTCCCAGGCGCGCCCCGTCACGCCGTGATCTCTTCCTCTCTTCCTCATTCGTCTTCTCATTCCATTCTTCTCTTTCACACGGTCGGCGAAAGAAGCGAAAAGACGTTGAACCGAAACAGGCCCGAACTGGCTGACAGACATTTGACAGTGGCTTTAAAATTCAACGGGGAAGCTAACGCAGGTGCACGGTCACAGATTATCCATCCAAATGTCACCGAGGTGTCAGTGCTTCTGGTATTCTGGCAAACGAATCCGGAGCATGCTCTCGTTTGGGAGACTGTTGCCGTTGTTAAGACGCGGGAAGGTCAACCAGGGTGGAAGATGCAGCACGCCATGGCCGTTCCTCTGTGCACTCCGCGATATTTATGTGTGCGTAGGTTCTCAAGATATGGAAGAGACCTCGACCTTATTTTTTGAAGCTTCAATAAAATGGCCGGCAATGGCAACGCAGCATAGGTAACCAAAAACATCAGGCCATCGATCTTTCGCGAGAATGTATCGGCGGCCTTGGCTAGGTCTAGAAGGGGTAAGGTATCCGGAGCCTGCCCAGGCTAGTTTCTCCGAAGCCCGACGGGACACATTATTTTTCATGGTTCCCACTGTGTCGGTGGATGGATTGCATTTTTCTGCCCGTTGATATTCAGTTCCGCACAGACCGCCCATTCTGAAGACGAGGGAAAGATGCAGACCCTCAAGGGTCAATCAAGGCGTCCCATGAAACGATAGATAGCAAGCGCACCCCGCATTCTGGCATCAGATCGTATCGCTGTGGTTTTGTGTACGATCGAGTTGATGCGTGTCTCTTTTGGCCCTTCTAAAATCTGCGCATCCGGAAATGGAAGAAGAGGGCGTTGAGTAATTCGGTCCAGCTCGGGGAGTTAACCTGTATCAAAGCTTACTGACAAAACAGGAAAGTGTTCGGTCGTCTGTAGCCTCACAAGGACGAAATTCTGAGCGCTTTCGATTCCCACTTGGGTGAAGTAAATAACGGAATGCTTGTAATCTCGAAATGGCCGGATATCTCGAATTACAATCTGGGGAGAACCCCTTCTAACGAGCCATGGTGAAGCACTGCCCATTTCCGAGAAGGGCTGTCGGATATCGGCTTGTTGATTGGACAGAGGGGCCCGCCTTGAGCTGAATGGAGCCCGCCTTAAGGGCATGTCTTGCGAGCAACAGCGAATTGCGTGTGCGTGTGTTCCTGGTTCCTGAAAAGCCGTGCCTGTTTTCGTGCTGTGTGCCTGCAGATCCAGACAGAACCGAGCCAGACCCCCTTGCTTTGGCTTGCTTCTTTGGCGGTTTTTGTGTTGTGTCCTGTGGTGTCGCCCGCTTCGCTCGCATCTGCTCAGTCACAAAAGGAATCTTGAGACCCCACTGCCGCTAACGTCGGGAGGTTCATCCCAATCACATCCACTGGCACCTTTGCGCCGTGTGCCTTGATAGCGCTCATGCACCCCTGAATTTACACCAAAAGAAGAAGGCTTCCAGAATGGGAGTGCGTTGGGTTCGTTGGGTTGGGTAGATTGGGTCGTGGTTAGGGCCAAGGAGGGAAAGACAAGGCGACGATCTCAGGGGAAGTTTGGTGATGAGCGGGTGAGGTTCTTTGGGTTTCCCACCCCGCAAAAGGGCATACAGAACCCATATGTATTGTGCTATATTTACATATGGAAATGTCCATTCGTCTTTAAATATCCTCGATAGCGTACGTTGTGCTGTCAGTGTTTGTTGTTTAGAGTCGCGATTGTGTCGATTTTTTGTGTGACGGGCGTTGAAGGTTTGGGCTTTTAGCTTCCCTCCAAGCAGAAAAGGGGTCCATTGGTTCATCTGATCTGTGTGATCCGCGAGAGACTACACTGCACCATTTCAACAGATGCGCAGTGTTATGTAGAGCCTCTCGCCTAAAGTATAACACAGCATCCCGCGCATGCAGATAGATGCAGTGGCGTGGGGAGGGTGCTGTTGTTGGAAAGGGAAAAAAAGAAGCAAGCACGGTGCCCCTCATTCATCTCGCCATCTCGTTGGTGGGTTGACGATTCTGTACAGGTGCAAACGATTGCGACGCCCATCATGTTTGTTTTTTGTTCCTTTCCCGGCATCCCCGCCCTCTTAATCCGGACCTGGTTTGCATCGAAAACGGTGACAGGAGTACAGAAAAAAAGAAGAAAAGGAAGGGCGAAAAAGGGAGGTTTGCCTTTTTGAGAGGCAACCGAACGGGGAATGTTCGTACCAACTTCGTACCCGACCACATCAGAGCAGCAAGGATGTCTTTACTTTGCCATGTTCCCCAATCCCTAGATGTCGGGTCCGGCTGGAGCTCCCTCTGTTTGTGGTTCAGGTTCCCTTGTGATGCTGTCCTAGCAAAGGCAAACCACCCAGCTGGGAACAGGAGATGTCTGTTTCTCAGGTCCGTGTCTCGCACAATCAGCGAGAGATGGAAAATGATTTCTCATTCGCTCCCGATCTGGTCAAGGCAAGTTAGCCAGGGCCATGTTCCCCAAAGCGTACTAACTCAATCGGAATGGCTTGGCCGGATCCCCAATCAGGAGCGATTCTCGTTGCTTCCTTCCTCTCCAGTTTGTTCAGGGGATGGCAGTGGATGGGGGAGGTGGTGCCAGTGGCCGCGAGTGGGTGGTGACTGACTGACTGCCCTGGCTGGTGCGAATTGCTAGCGTTGGTAATTTGCGACACGGTCTACACCCCGGTCGGTCGGTCAGCGCAATCAAATAAACAAGCAGAGGTCCCCAAACCACCTTTCAGCCCAGAGATCCTGAACCACTTTTTTTTTTTGATTTTTTTTTTTTTGATTTTGAAGCATTTGGTTTTGCCAGCATCTTGCCCGCTCGTCGACCTTGGGCGAAATAAAAAAAGAAATCAAGGCCGGTATTGATAAGACATCCACTCCCGACACCCGTCTAACACAAGCTCGCGGTCAGCTGGAACATATGACGCCCGCTGTGCAAGTTAAAGCTGGATAACACCCGCCTCCCCGCGAGGGGTCCGCAGTCCGCCATTCCGTCCATCCATCCAGACCTTCTCTATCAGAACATAGCTACACCACAGCTACAACTCCACGGCTACCACAGCAGCTACCTACCACGGCGAACATTCCCTCCTTTTGTCCAGTCCAGCATTCCAGAAGCATCCCTCCGCCAAACCCCCATACAGTAATTACGAGATACCCGACGGAGGAGACTGTATTTTACGAGACCAAAGACTCAGGAGAAACAACGACTATACGCTACCTACCTACCCTCAGGCTATCCCTTACAGCGCATTCCAGAATCACCCACCACCACACGGGCATCCAATCCCAATTGGCGACCAGTCGTTACTCTGAACCCAACAAGCCGTCGAGCAGCCCGAAACCAAGTTTATTACCATCCCGTTCGGTTGCTGGCCGTCATTCGCTATTCGTCGCTCCCTATATTTTTGCCCAACTATTAAGCAGGCAAGCAGTGCAGCCAGGCGCACAAGAGTGTGTGGGACGCTGGGAATCAGTTCGGCCTGGGCGGTAGTGCAAGTGTTGCAGTTGCTGCAGGTGGTATTGCGCAGTCGCATTGGTCCGTCAGCGCCGCCCGTCAGCGGTACCCAAGCCTGAGGTCCAAACGGCAATTTCACAAGCCGTCCGTTCGCTTCCAAGGAACAGATCGATCATAAAAAGCTAAAACGATGGACTTCGCCTCTCCTCCAAATTCCCCGGGCGGTTCCAGCCTACCTCAGCGACCCATGAGCGCAATGGTCCGTCCAGCACCGAGAAGCAGCAGTCGCATGAGTATCACCAGCAAGACTGGTGGTGGGAGTCGAGCGTCGGACGACGATGTCAAGACTGCAGTCAGAGTCGGTACGTACCCCCCACAACACCTGTACCCCTTTTTACTACCCCCTCTGTGGCCGCCAGCTTTCCAGCTGCGGCATTCCAGCAACTACATGCAGCGCCGAGAGAGGCAGCCACTCACGCCTGCAAGAAAAAAGACATGAACAACGTTGATGCTGACACCGCATTTTGCCATCGGTAGCGGTGCGCGTGAGGCCGCCCCTGGGTCCAGACGATCCAGGATACGATCTTGTCCCACAGCGATTTCAGCGGTCAATGGTGCAAGTCCAAGGAGAAACCGGAGTAGCCATCGATTCACCACAGGGCCGCAAGTTGTTCGTGTTTGACAGGGTTTTTGGCCCCGAAGTCGACCAGGAGGGTGTCTGGGAGTATCTTAGCGACTGTGTAAATGCTTTCACGCAGGGCTACAATGTCTCGCTTCTCGCCTACGGCCAGTCGGGCGCCGGCAAGTCGTACACCATGGGCACTGCAGGCCCCGATGTGCAGGATGACCTAGAGGCCATGGGTAAGTGCACCTGGCACCGGCCTCTGAGACATGCAGGTGCCCTCCCACCAAGGAGTTTGTGTGCTAACTGCACGTGTAGGAGTCATTCCGCGGGCCGCCATCGCCCTGTTCGAAAAGCTGGACGGCTCAAGTCCAAAGCCCCAAGGCGCGGCTTCAAAACGGGCTTCCATGTCCCAGCTGCGTGCTCCCTCGAGAGCGACGCTCCAGCCTTCTCACATCGACAAGGATTGGAAGTTGACTGCGACTTACGTTGAGATCTACAACGAAAGCCTGCGAGATCTCTTGATCCCAGAGCAGATTCCACAGCATGAGCGCGGCACCGTCACCATCCGTGAGGATGTCAAGGGGAACATCATCCTCACGGGGTTGCAGCAAATCGAAGTCAACTCGGTCGACGATCTAATGAATGTGTTAGCCCAGGGTTCAGCACTCCGCCAGACCGATGCGACAGCCATCAACGCCCGTTCTTCGAGATCCCACGCCGTCTTCAGCCTTAACTTGGTACGAAAAGGGGCCAAGGGTCCGACGGCGCCCGCCGATAAACGCATGTCGATGCCGCTCGAGGCCATGTCCGGTACAGAGGCCATGGTCACCACCGATAGCAAGATGCACTTCGTCGATTTGGCCGGTAGCGAACGTCTCAAGAATACCGGAGCTCAAGGCGACCGTGCCAAGGAGGGTATCTCGATCAATGCCGGTCTGGCCGCCCTAGGCAAGGTTATATCGCAGCTTTCGTCACGGCAACCAGGAGCGCATGTGTCGTACCGAGATTCGAAGCTTACCCGCTTGCTTCAAGATTCTCTGGGTGGAAATGCGATTACGTACATGATAGCTTGCGTAACCCAAGCCGAATTCCACCTTAGCGAAACACTCAATACGGTACAATATGCCCAGAGAGCGCGAGCGATTCAGAGCAAGCCGAGGATACAACAGGTGGATGATGGCGACAAACAGGCCATCATCGAGCGTTTGAAGGCGGAGGTTGCATTCCTGCGAGAGCAAATTCGGAGTTCGGAGAGGGGTGGGGGTGACAGACGTAGCATGTTGCTAGCTCCTGGGGAGAGGTCCGAGCGGCAGAACGAACGGGAGGTCGAGCTCCAGAATCAGCTGCTGGACGCCAGGGAAAACTATACCACGCTATCCCAGCGACACGCGAAGCTGATTTCCGAGATGGCCAAGGCGCGGGAGAACGAGTTTGCCGAAAATCAGCATCTCGAGGAAAGCTTGGGTGAAAGCGCCACCGAACGTCTAAACCGCTCAAACAGTTTCGCTCAGGCCGTCGAGCAGGTCGTTCTCGAATACGAGAAGACAATCCAGTCGCTCGAGCAGTCCCTTGCCAGCACCCGGGCCACCCTCGCTAACACCGAGACTACGCTGCTTGAGAAGGAATCAAAGTGCGCATATACGGAGACCATCAACACTCAGCTCCAGGCAAGGCTGCAAAAGCTAATGGACCGCGAGGCTAGCACGGAGAATTATCTACATGACTTGGAGGCTAAGTTGGATACCCATACTTCGGGGGAGGAAAAGAACGCCACCATTATCACCGAGCTCCGCAAGGAAATTGCCCGTGTACGGGAAAATGAGGCAAATGCAGAGGACTATATCTCCACCTTGGAAGAGCGTCTCGCCGAGGCTGATCAGGATGCTGAGCTGATGCAGAGGGAAATTGACCGACTTGAGCAGGTTATTGAACGCCAGCGTAGTCTCGGAAAGCTGGACTCCTTGCTAAACGAACTTGACCACATCCAGCAAGATCCGCCAACCATCCCCGAGAACGAGCATGAACTCACCAACGGAGCCCGCCATCGAAAGTCGATGGCCAGCCGGGACTATGCCAACCATTCGCGTAGCCAGAGCCATGTCAGTCACCGAAGCCAGTTTGAGGAACCAATCCGTGAGAGCAGTGAGGAGGACATTCCTGAGGAAGACGAGGAGGATTTCGTGACCCCAATGGAGAATGCGGCCCATTCGACACCGAAGGCGTCGCACGCTCAACTGGCCGGCAAGAATGGTTCGAAATTGGTACCTGTGGATAAGTTCGAAACCGTTACCAAGGAGCTTGTCGAGCTCCGAACTGAGCATGAGACAACTCTGCATGACTACAGCGCTCTCCAAGCTAAGCACGAGGAGGCTCTCCGGGCGCTCGCGGAGTTGCAGGATACCATCGATGAGGCCCGCCATCCGAGCCGCGTACGGGATTCCATTCTTTCGGTATCAGCACCGGGTACGAGGCCCATGTCCTTCATGTCGGGCGAGACCAAGCCTGGTCACCGATCTTTGTCATCCGAGTTGTCATCGGCTCTGGGTTCGCACACAGTTGTTACGGACGCTTCGGATGCTGAGACTGCCAAACACCACGATTCGCATGTTGACGAGGCGGACGCCGATGCTCAAATTCAAAAGCTGAAGTCCATTGCCGCTGCAAAGGAGGCCGCTGAGAGGGAGCTTGCAATGCGGTACGCTCAACTGGAGGAGAAGCACCAGGAAACTCTCGATGTAGTGGAAGAACTGAAGACGGAGATTGCAAAGGCCCAGGCTCTCAATGTGGAATCTTCGATTTCAAGAACCAGCACACCGGTTATCCGTCGTAAGTCCAGCCAGAATGTGATGATCATCGATCGCGCCCATCGCTCTTTCGCCACGCTGAGCAACATCGCATCCGAAAATCTACATGATCCAGATGTGATGGCCAACTTCGAGCTCAACTTGAACGCCGCTATGCACGAACTCCACGCGCGCTCTGAGAGGATCCAGGAACTGGAGGTGGATGTGGCGACAGCGAAGAAAGAGATGGAGACCAAGATGACCATTATCTCTGGCCTGACTCGTGAGAGGTCTAGCTTGAAGGCGTCATCGCCGATGGATATGGCCATGGTTTCCAGCCTGAGGGAACAGCTGGAGAGGAGTGAGAAGCAAGTGCAGGAGTTGCGGGAGTCCAACGCCATTCGGCAGAGGGAGCTCGAGGCTCAGATTTCCGAGTTGCAGCATGCCCTGCATCAGGCTGGTGTTGATCCTGCGACGGTTTCTCCCAAGGTGTTTGACGGAGATTCGGATGCGCAGGCGAAGAGGATCCTTGAGCTGGAGGCCGAACTTCGCGGCTGGGAAGCCAAGCACAAGGCTGCGTTGGAGAACCTCCAGGACTCGGAAGATAGGATGAAGTCTTCCATGGCCGAGCTTGGAAGCCAGATCTCATTCCTGACCACACAGCTTACCGAGACCGAAACCCAGTCCAGCATGTTGAGCTCGCGCCTTGCCCAGACCGAGGGTCAAGTCACCTCGCTGAACGACCAGCTTGCCCAGAACGGACACAAGGAGCCTGAAGGCGACGAGGCCGCAAAGGAGAAGAAGCACAAGGAGCTTGTCGAGTTCCTCCGCCACGAGATCGATGACTACAAGGAGCTCATCAACAGGACACAGGCCAAGGCCACACAGGCCGAAGAGCAGGCCGCGGCCACCAAGGCCCTGCTTGATGCTGCCACCAGAGAACGCGATGATGCCGCTGCTGAAGCCGAACACAACAAGCAGCTCCTGAACCAGCTTGAGGAGTCAATCACCGAGCACGAGCAAACCATCAAGGCCCACCAGGAGAGCTTGCATGCCCTTGAGCTGAACCATCAATTAGAACTTGAGGAGGCAAGAACCGCTTCCAGACGGGAGGTTGAGGCTGAGATGAAGGCCCTCAAAGCTGAGCATGCCGAGAAGGTAAGACGTCTCGAAGAAGAACTTACCGATGCTCGGGAGGATCTCCTGAGGGTTGCCACTCAGGTCGCTATGGCTCTTGGCCTCGAAGTCAGCATCGAGAAGCTGTCGGAGCGCATCGAGGATCTCCTCGAATCTCGCGATGTCGTGGACCTGGAGCAGAAGAAGCGTGGCGAACTGGAGCAGCATGTTGTCGAGCTCACGTCCATCAACGACCAGGTCATGAACGAACTAGAGTCTGTTAAGGCCGCTCTCGCGGACATGTTGGTCACGGAGAATGACAAGACCAGAACTCTTTACCCTGTCAAGGAATCCGTGGCCCTGGTCAAGAAGAAGATGGTCGATTTGGAGACGAAGAACAAGAAGAACTCGCGCCTTGTGGAGGAGCTCGAGGATCAACTGCAGAGCAACTACGACCAGGTGCAGCTCACGAGCAATAGGCTGTCGACTTTGCAGTCCGAGAAAACCCAGCAGCTGGAGGAGGCCAATGCTGCCAAGATCAGGCTGGAAGAGGAGCTGAAGGTTGCCCAGGAGCAGTACGCTGCTCTTCAGGTATGCTGACCTTCACTACCCATCCCTTTACCCGTATTAATCGCCATTTACTAACCATAATTTCTAGACCAAGTACAACGTGCTGTCCGAACAAGCAGCGTCGGTTCCTCAACGCTCCGACTCGAAGTCAGCACCCAACCCGAGTTCTCCCCTCCGCAAGTCGAACTCCGTCCAGTCCCTCCCCTCGCCCCCGCCTGCGATTCCTCTCCCACCGCTCCCCGCCGATCGCGCAAACGGCGCCGTCTCCCCTACAAGTGGCGCTCCCCGCCCTCCCTCGAAGGACATTCTTGCCGCTGCACTTTCAAACCAGCAGTTCCAAGCCATTCAAGAAGACCAGGAAGCCCGCATTCGCATCATCGAGAAGAATCTCTCGGCTGAGAAGCAACTTACCGCCACCCTGGAAGAAGCGCTCACCGATCTCGAGACGCAACAGCTCAAGATCAAGGCCGACGCCGATGCATGGAAGCGCCGGGCCTCCGAGCTCGAGGCCGAGCTCAAGGAGCTTAAGGACAAGCCCCAGGTGGACAACCGGTGGAGCCTGCAGCAGGTTGAGGAAGAGCGGAAGAAGCGGGTGGACGCCGAGCGGGCGCGACAGCATCTCGAGGAGAGAATGCAGAGCCTGGCAGGCAAGAAGAAGAAGAAGGGGAGCCTGAACTGTTTTTAGGGGGGCGCCCGCACCCGGTTGCCCTTGTCGGCCCTGTCCTACTGTTCAAGCGCTACGAGCGTTGGTTGTTTTGGTTTATCATCAATGGGTGGGGGTGGCCGGAGTTGCGGTTGTGGTTGCTGTGGCCGGAAAAGCTGCGGGTGTTGCTGCGGCCCCAAGTGTGGGTGTGGAAACGGCTTGGTGAACAGCGGGATGGTCGTTCCTGCGAACACGCCTGCCATGCCTACCATGCCCACCATGCCCACCATGCCCACCATGGTGGGGCGGCGCAGTCGTTCTGGTAGTGGTGTTAGTCTACACGGAAGTGTTGGGGGTGGTGGTGGTGTTGGTGGTGGTGTTGGTGGTGGCCTACGGAGGCGGGCTGTGAGTAGTGCTAGTCGTGTCAGTACTACTAGTGCCGGTGGACGGCGCAGTCGCGCTGGCAGTGTTGCTAGTGGTGGCGGTGGTGGAAGACTACGCAGTAGTGCTGGCAGTGTTGCCGGTACGAGTGTCGGTAGTGGTGGAAGCACCGACTATTGCTGCGGGTTGATGGATAATGAGAAGAAGAACAAAAAAAACAAGAGTAAACTTACGATACCCGTCAAGAGGAGGAAGAGAAGAAGCAGCAGCGTTATCAAGGGGAAGATGAAGGAACAAAGAGGACGAGAGTCGTCAGAAGGTGCAGCAGCAAAGGAACGGAAAGAGAAAGTGAGGAAAAGCGGCGGGAGTCATCATTATCAGCTTCACCGGCTGAAGCTCTTGTTGGAGAGAGAGAGCACGTTGCAGCGGAAACTCATGTTGGAGAGGGAAATATCTCTGCAGCGGAAGATCGATGCGAATCCGGATTTTTCGTACATGACATGAACAAAGTTGGTTTTGACCTCACCCCCTCCCATCACCCCTTACTAGGAAGGACGGGAGTGAGCAAAAGAGAGAGAGAGGATCATTGGGACGAAGCGATGGGATGCCAGGAAATGGGATGGGGAACTGGTCAATTGGACTGGATGAATGGATGGGCAATGTTGATTTCTTTTGCGTTTTCTCTGTGCTTGTTTGTTTCTTTGTCTTTTTTTGGCTATATATCCCCCCTTCGAGCGCGCGACCCGTGCGTGCTTCTTCTTTACATATACCTTAGTACCACCGTGTTATGCCCCCTGTATGTATGTGTCCTACTTACTATACCTATGTTGTGCGAACAACACTATGAATAAGAATCAGACTAAGAACAAGAACACGAACAAGAAGAAAGTGATGTCTGCAAAATGCCTGATGAGTCCCAATGAAAGGCCTCCTAGCCTTTTTTTGTTGCCTTTGGCATCTTGCGAGACGTTGTGTAATCAGGAGGAGACGTGAAGAGAGCTTACGTACAGACTTCACTGCGACTAATAAGAGAAAAAAAAATGGAATGGTACAACGGAAAATCATACGAGACTCCAAGCACGGCGAAAGAAAAAGGAAGAATACTGTAGACCATCCAAAAGTTGAATAAAAAAAGGCAAAGGAAAAAAACATACAACACCAGGGATTCGCTGGTCGTCACCGACCCAACTACTAGTCTGGCCCTCACTGGCTTATCTATGGGAGAGCGGACGGGATCCCGAGTTTTCCAGTGGGTATGGTCGTATGTGAAAGAATAGCCTAGTATTACTCCCTATCTGTGGGAGTTCACGCTGGCTTGCGTTTATTCATGTGCGTGCTTTTCGTATAGCACCTGTTTTAAAATTATTCAACTTCACGCGAAGTAATTCGAGGCGCTCAACATGAGTTGCAGCTTCCCTTTGGACAGCTAGTTGGCTAGTTGGCCGCTTTTCTTCAGGAAATAACATAATGCTGGTTTGTTTGTTAGTTCGTTACTCCTATCATGTTACAGAAGACCTATCTCAAATTGTCACAAACCTCACAGAACCAGAATCTGATGGCTAAGTACGAATCAAAGAGGTATCGTTAGGGGCTAAGAAGGCATATATAGTGTAAGATCATGATTTTGTTACGGAGTGAAACGGATGGATCAGATATGTACATGTCTAGGAAGGATCACCGGAGGTCTCGAGCTAATGGGCAAACTAGTATTGGACTGTAAATCATATCGCATGAGGACCTTTATACGAATACTGTACCTAAACAGACGTAATCCCATTGACGATGGGGTTATACGTGGTGGTGCGAATCACGCAAATGCCAGGCAGGCGCACTTACAGTCAGTTCTGCAAAATGGGATAGCTCCCGTCCTGTTGTTCACAACAGCACTTCATCCTTCCAGAATACACTGTCACAATTTTCTCCGATCCCATCGACGCCAAAGCCGTCGAGTATCACGATTCTCAGAAGTTCTCACCAATAGATCCGCGTCAAGACGCGACTGGATCCCTGGATTTTACATACGAAGCAGGCAGTCTTAGAACAGGCGGAAAGGGAATTTTCTCTGGTTTAAGACATGGCGAGTTATTGCAAACACTGCGTCTCTTAAAACATCTTTTTGTGACTTCGCTCAACATCATATACCGCGGCCGTCGGTTGCTTGGGACTGGGAAAGTCCGGATAGAGTATAGACTGACGGATGAGCCATCTCAGTCAGACCAAGAGCCCTGGACGAAGAATTGGAAGATAGAGGAACAGAGGAAACTGATTTCATGAAGTAGAGACTCGACTGCATTGTATGTCGAGAGAGGCCAAGTTCGGTTTGGGTGAATGACCATGGCGGCGGAGATAGTGCGCAAGAGTGGGATGTTGTTCTGGGGAAGGGGGCTATGTGAGTGTGATGCTTTTGCATCATATCCCGGTAGACACATGATATTGCTCGAACCGAGGGATTCATTCGTATATGCATTAACCTCTTGCAACAATCCGACTCAATAATATCATGCGCAGATAATATTGCAACCACCACCTGCCGCATTTGGTATAAGACAGAAGTGACGTCCAGGATTGAGGTTTGGCGTTGTCGGAAAGGTGCATTGCACGAAAGATGGACCGGCCTGATAGAGACCGGGGATTGCACCAAGCGGGCAAGTTGAAATTAAAAGGCAGACCCTCCACTTCTCTTAGTCGACAGTCTCATCCTCTAGACACTCCGATTCAAAGCTATTGAGCAATCAGACCGTAAGACTTCATTGGGCGCCCCCATCCACATTCTTTCAGTCCTTCGAAGAAATCAAATTCGGTGCTGTTCTTACCGCAACACGGCCATCATTCAACGGAATTCGCGGTGCACCAACATTCCAGTCATGGCCCCCAACTTTCCGATATATGACTGGCCACGAAGCTCTCAATGGATTACCTCAACCATGTTTTTCGAAGTTCCTTTACACTCGAGGACCCGGTAAGCACTGCCATGTTGCACTGCCGCCTTGCGGGTGGTAGCGTGGATATTAACCGTAGTCGGCACCTGGTTCCGATTCGAACCAGTACTTATACCGGACGTCTGTCTCACAATGCTGGACCTTGTGTGAACATTGTGAACGGATCTCAGTACACCAGTCCATCTTCCAATCCTCCCCAACGCTTCAGCACTTTTCATAACACCGACTGCAGGCGTGATGGCTCAAATGGGCCAAAACATCTTCGGCCACAGTTTCACCAACTCTTCCAGCCCTAGATGGGTTGGTGAGCCTGATTCCCGTGGGACATTTAGAATTCTCCCCACGTGTATCGTCACCCTTGTCCTCTGCGTTTGGACGGCTATCCATCTCAACGTTCCTGGACACAAAGAAGGGGCGATGAGACTGTACATGCGCAAATTTGGCTGGATGCTTTTGGGTCTACTAATTCCTGAACTGGTAAGGTGAGCTCATGTCCACGCGCTGTAGTACATGGGGAAAGGAGCATAATATGGGTGGTTTTTGAGCAACTCGCTAAGATTCAAAAGATTGCATATACCGCTTTTCGACAGCACCAGCAGGCCAGAAACATCGCAAGAGAAATGAATTTTTGGGATAGATGGGGGTATCCAAGCTCTCCATTTGCCAAAGACAACGACAAAGATGGGTTATCTTGAACCAAAAACAAGAGCAAGTGGAGGACCTGTGTTCTGTCTAGCTGGAGGTCAAAACAACGCGAGAAGGACATGGAGGTAGGTACAACTCAGTTTTTGGGCAATTTGATGGAATAATATCAAGGCTGACTTGGTTTATATTCCGCTTTTCTCGTGGTGCACAGGCTTCCACCTGCGAATCATGGTCTATTGCCCATGGATTTCTGGCAGTCATGGGAGGCTTTGCGTTAGAGATAAACACCGACGATCGGAATCACCAAAGAAGTGCCAGGAACTTCTTTCCAGCAAAGCGTTCGACCGAATCGCTTTGCCCAGGGCCTAGCCATCAGCCTGCTAGAACTCAACACATTTGGCCATGCCGCCTGCACCCTCTTCATTTACATCATGTGGTGGCATAAGCCTCTCGATATTGCTGAGCCAGATACGATAAACTTCGTGAACATGGACAACGAACCGAGACTCATCGCAGCCATGTGTGTTCGCAGTGAGCTGGATGGAGTGGCAGAGTCAGCTCACTTTTACGAACAGGAGAAGGCTTTCGCGGTCAACGTTGAGTACAAATATTCTGAAGCTACAAGGGACGTCACAGGGTCCATTGTGTGGGATGAAAAGTGCCTCCGGATGTGCTTGCGTCCGCACTGCCCTTGACAGGGTGGACGCATGAGCATTACAAACCCGAGCCTACGACGAACTATGAACTCGCTCTCACCCCAAGCCCTTTTGCCTCTAGGTATCTGTATCGACGAAAAAAGTAAGCTGATATTCACTCCCATCTCATCCAATATCCATTCAATCAACTCGGTATGCCTTCGCTCGTTCAGGTCCAGGCTAAGTAGTTGACGACTAACGCAGATCTCTGAACCCATCCAGCGGTCTCTTGGCCATGCCACTATCACACAACCTACATTCTGCCTACCCCCCCCCCCCCCCCCCCCCTCCAGCGAAGTTGAGGTGTTGGAGGCAGGTGGAAAATACTCCGGCGGATGGACAGACGTTCAACATGTACTTAGTCCGGCCACCCCGGATACAAACACCGACACACCTGCGACTGCCCCTGGCCTTCCTCCTGTCCACTTACAGCTCGCCCATTCCGATGTTCGACGTTGGCAGCTAGCTCTCGGATACGGCCGCCTCAACAACGTCGCCAAGAACCTTCTAGTTGATCGGGCACGAAACATTCCTTTGCTTCATACATATGGAGCGGTCTCCAGTGACCGACACATCACCTTCTACGTCGGCTTCGGCCTCTTTGGACTCATCTACGGCGGACTTCACTGCGTGGCATGGAATGCCCCATTTGTTTCTGACCTCGAAAAGATTCTCTGAAGGGTCTCCAGTGTGGCCATTACTTGTACTTCCTTTTTTGTTGGTCCTTCTATCAGTCCGGGCCAAATTCCCACCCTTTTTGATTGGAGCCCGCCAAGATGCTGGATCTGACCGTGGAGGTGTACGGAGCGCCCAATGTGTTCTACGGAAAAGCAATGAGAGTGCTAGGTGTGTTAGCGGGAAGAAAGTTCTGGGCTTTCATAGGGCCGCTGGGTGCGCTTGTGCGAGGTGTTTTCGCAGCCCTCGTCGTCCTCCAGGTGGTCGTTTTCTTCCTCGTCAAGATATGCTATGATCTTGCCGTCACCGGGCTTCTCGCGCTCTACGTTCTGGCTAGGAGCTACTTGGTCGTCATTTCTTTTGTCAATCTCGCTCATCTTCCTGACTCGGCATTCGTGGTGCCGAATTGGTCCAAGTATGTGCCTTATTTTGGATAGGTAGCAAGTTTATCCGGGATATGCATGAGATTAGGTCAATTGTGGTACGCATTTACACTTCTTCTTGTGAGCCGTGGCTCTGTTCCGCTAAATACTATGAGAGGACTATAGGGTATAGGGAGCCAACCGGAGAGAGATACATTGACGACGATAACAAATAGTACCCTTCACCAAACCACTTCTTGTAACGAAAGGAGGCAGGAGGGGCATTCATAAGGTACAGATCGCTTACGAAATGATACCCACGACCATACCCACTGGAAAACTCGGGATCCCGTCCGCTCTCCCACAGATACGCCGGTGAGGGTCAGCTTATGTATGGGAGTTGGAAGGATATGAACCGGATCTTCTAATCACATGGTAGGGTCAAAAAACTGAACAACCACCTCCCATATCCATAATCGTTGAGGCAAGACAGTGAGTGGGGAGCCGGCGCTAAAAAGATGAATATAATTGGGCCGATTACGAGACAAGTTGGCCGTCCTGACACTGCGGCTAGCCCCGTTAACGTTTGTCAAAGTGCAATATCCGCGGTATAGGTATATAGCACAATTCTCAGTCGCGGCCATAGCTCCCAAAGAAAATGAAAAAGAAGAATCAATACATTGTCCGCTCAAGGACACTGGTTATTGCAACGACTTGGTTGTTGACAGCACTGGCAGCCTAGGCTCTACTGTAATTGGCAGGTTCCATTCGGATTTACAGCGCTTCCCGCGCCACATCCTGCTAATTGGCATACAGTTGCCAACCCTGTAGACCCTCACCCAACCCAGGCAATTGGAGTGTGATTGGGAGAAAGCCGCCAGCCATCTTGCGCCTAACAAGGTGACA